TGTTTCATTTCTCAGCTGAGCCCCCATCCTCGGCACCCCCAGCAGGGACCTCTGAGGTGGAGCAGCTACAAGATGAGGCCAAACACCTGAGGAAGGAGGTGGAAAGTCTGGAGGGAAAGCTCCAATCCCAGGTGGAAAACAATCAGGCCTTGAGTCTCCTGAGCAAGGAACAAAAGGAGAGACTCCAAGAGCAGGAGGAGAGGCTCCAAGAGCAGCAGGAGAAGCTTCAAAAGCAGGAGGAGAGGCTCCGGGAGCAGGAGGAGAGGAGGCTGCAGGAGCAGGAGAGACAGTGTGAGCAAAAGGAGAGGCTTTGGGAGCAGCAGAAGAGGCTGGGGGAGCAGGGTGAGAGGCTGCGAATGCAGGAGGAGAGGCTCGCGCTCTCCCAGAAGCACAAGTTCAACAAGCAGCTGGCCGAGCCACAGTGCAGCTTTGAGGATCTGGTGGGTAGCCCCACCTGGGCAGCCTGCCCTCATCCCTAGCCCTCCAGGCCTTTGTTTCCCCACCTGTAAAATGGGGCAGTGTAGCCCTCACATGACATGGTATTTCTAAAGGCATCCATGAGCCAGAGCTCATCAGGCCCTGCTCTGGTGGTTGTAGGGGAGAGGGGATGATTTTTCTAACCTACTTCCACCCTTTCCGGTGACATGGGAGGCAGACACCAAGTTCTGGGGTCTCCAGCTGCAGTGGCTGGCCACTGATTGCTTCTCTCTGTCCAGAACAATGAGAACAAAAGCACACTGCATTGGAGCAGCAAGTAAAGCAGCTGCAGGAGAAGCTGAGCGAGGTGAAGGAGATGGTAACCTCTGCCCCATCCAAGAAGGGCTGGGAGGCAGGCACCAGCCTCTGAGGAGGGGAGGTGCCAGGCCAAAGGCAGCTCCAGCTGGGGGGCAGGTGATGGCAGCAACCTCCAGGGCAGCTCCATGACTGTTTCTTGCTTCCTGCCCTCTGACTTTTACAGGTGGGTAGCCCTGGGCTCCTCCCAGGTCTGGACATCATCATCCCAGCTAAAGGCATAGATTACCCCAACCATAGGGGAAGAGACAGCTGAACATGAGGCTCCTTATGCCGGTCACAGTGGCTCCTGCCTGTAATCCCAGCACTTTGGGAGGCTGAGGCAGGAGAATTACTTGAGGTCAGGAGTTTGAGACCAACCTGGCCAAAATTGCAAAACCTCATCTCTACTAAAATAACAACAACAACAAATTAGCCAGGCATGGTGGTGCATGCTTGTAATCTCAGCTACTCAGGAGGCTGAGGCATGAGAATCGCTTGAGCCTGGGAGGTGGAGGTTGCAGTGAGCCGAGATTGCACCACTGCACTCCAGCCTGGGCCACAAGGTGACATTCTGTCTCCAAATAAAAGAAAAAAGCCTCCTTAGATTCAAACTGGATTCCAACCTCGATTCCACTGGTCATTCAACTACTTTTCATCTCTGTTTCTTTAGCTTCAAAAGGAAGTTAGCATTTTTCTTATGGAGGTGCTGGGGATTAAATGAGAGAACACATGGAAAGCATTAGGCATGGAGCACACTTAGCAGATGGTGATTGGCTCCCTCAGCTTTTCCACCAGTCTGTGGCCTACAGTTTAAATAGTGGGAAGAAGGACATGAGATTTGAGGCTGGGGAAGGAAACATGTGGTTCTAGGCAAGGGAGGAAGTCTCTTAGGCCTGGAGCAAGGGGCCAGGGGCCTGGGAAGGTAACAGAACCCCACTGTGCCCTTACTACCTATTAATGGGCCCAGAATCTGGAAGCCAACCACCACATGCCCTCATGTCCAGGGTCTTCCTGCAGGTGGAGCTGAAGAGCCAACAATCTCACAATCTGCAGCAGCAGTGAGACTAGTACCGGGGTCACCTGCAGCAGTACGCGGCCACCTATTAGAAGCTAACCTCTGAGAAGGAGGTGCTGCACAGGCAGTTACTGCTGCAGATCCAGCTCATGGACCAGCTGCAGCAGCAGGAAGCTCAGGGCAAAGCGGTGGCTGCGATGGCCTGCCAAAAGTTGCAGGAGACCCAGGGGAGGGAGTTGCTGAGGACAGGGACCTGAGGGGATGACCTGGCAACCTCTGTGCCTTCTCACTCTGTTTTCCATCCCCTTAGGAGTGCCTAGAAGCTGCCAACCAGGAGAACCAACAGCTAGAGGCCCAGCTGAGTCTCATGGCTCTCCCTGGCCAAGGTACAGGAGACCACTCAGAGGAAGAGGAGAGGGCCCCAGGAGGAAGGGGGGACTGTTAGCAGCATAGGATTGAGGGATTGGAAGAGACCTTTAGAAGAGCTGGTTGTTATGCCAACCGGGTGTCTGCACTAAGTTTGGCATCAATATAATGACCTCCTGGGAGCAGGGGGCCACCAGGTTGCCTAAGGATGAGTGAACAGGCCCAGATCAGAAAGGGAGCAAGTCAGAACTCCCACAATGACAGGTAGCAGGACTGTGCCTGGGCAATATAGCAAGATCTTCATTCTTAAAAGGAAAAATAAAGAACAGCAGCTCATTCCCCTCTGGGGAGGGGCTGGCTCAGGGTTACACAGTGAGGGTGGGGACAGACGTGGGCCCACAGTACGTCCCTTGTTGGGTTTTCTGAGGACCCCTCTGGCCACCTCCCTACAGGAGATGGAGGAGGACATCTGGACACTGAGGAGGAGGGGGTGCCTCGGCCTATGCCGAGTGTCCCAGAGGACCTGGAGAGCCAGGAGGCCACAGTGAGTCTGACTTTCCCTGCCCCCGCTTTGCCACCTTCCTCCGTGGTCCCTCCCAGACCCCCTTATGCTCTTGCTTTCCCCGCCTTCTGATTTCTCTGGACATTCACCCCTTCCGGGAGCCAGTGGTCAGACACCACTTCACCTGTGACCAACAGGTGCACTCTCTGAGGCCCCAAGGGAAGGGGCTGTGCTCCACCTCCCTGCCCCATTTGTTCTGTGTATGTCCTACAAGAATACTCAGCTCTTGCCTTCGAGTGGCATTTTCAACTCCGCTGGAGCCAGTGCCCAGGGGGAGCAGGCATGGCTATGTGGGCAGCGGAAGGTGTGAAGGCTGTGCTGCCCGCACCTGGCTCACCTGGTGGCCTCGGCCTGGAAGGAGTCAGAGGAGAGGCCCCAGCCCCAGGGACTGGGGGTGAGTTTGTGTGTGGGGAGAGCTACCGGGCCCTGAAGGAGGCCATGGAGAAGGTGAAGGTGAGTGAGTCCTGGCATGGGCCATGAAAAGTGGGGGCGGGGCAGGACAGGTCACTTCCAAGATATGACCCCATTATTTTGGCTCCAGAGTGGCTTTATGGACCTCCCAAAGGAGAAGGTGGATGGGAAGGAGCAGGTGGAGAACCTAGAGCTTGGATTCATCCAGCTCTCTGGAGCAACAGACGGCATGAGTGAGCGGGAGGCCACAGCATGGGCACGGGCAGCTGCAAGGCCATTGTAGGGGCCCCAGCGTCTGAGCCCTGTCCCCTTGCAGGAGAGCACTTCACCGTATATGGGAGCCAAGGGGCAGTCCCAAATACGCGGCACCAGGAGGAGGAGGACGTCAGCAGTCTGGCCCAGAATGAGGAGGAGATGAACGTAGGGCACGAAACATTTCTGCAAGGGTGGGGGTGGGTGTGAGCATAGGCTCTGATGTGGTAGCTGAGCACTCCTCCCTTCAGGTGAAGCTGCTGGAGCTGCAGGAGCTGGTGTTGCCGCTTGTGGGTGACCACGAGGGGCATGACAAATTCCCCCCCGCTGCCCAGAACCGTGGTGATGAGCCCGCTCCAGGGGCCCCAGCCCCCCAGGAACTTGGGGCTGCCCATGAGCAGGGTGGTGAGTAGAGCCCTCAGGCGGGGTGGACAGGCAGGGGCAGGGGAGGCTAGCACTGTGCTCAGACCCCTGCGTCCCTCTCTCCGAAGATTTTTATGAGGTGAGCCTGGCCAACAGCGTGGAGCCTGCACCAGGAGAGGACAGGGAGGGTTCTCCCCATGACAACCCCACTGCACAGAAGATTGTACAGCTGCTTCCTGTAATGCAGGACACCAAGGAGCACCCAGGCTTTGCCAGCAAACCCTGCGTGCCATTCTTTTACTGGGCAGCCGAGAACAGAGAGATAAACATCATCATCATCTGAGAGCTGGTCAAGAAATTTAAAAAAAAAAACAAAAAAACAATTATGGGGTTAATCCTCTACACAATTCATCTACTTCATTGGAATGTTAGAGCCCCTCATGTTTATTTATGTTTCTAATTTACAGTTTAAATTTCTTTCTGAAAAGTTAAGGGAGAGTGGGTCTTTCCCTGATGTTCACTCTGGCATCCTTTAGCATTTTTGTTTTTAATTGATAATTGTAGGTCATTAGCTCGCATATCGAGTTTGCCCTTACGTGGTGGGAGTTCAAACACACAAAACCCACTATTTGCACAAAACTATTCTTACTGGTTTGGAATAGGCTGCCATGCTTTTTAAATGTTATTGCAGCATGTATATTCATTACAGAATTCAGATAAAATTGGCTTATGTTCTGCTATTGTTTGATCGAATCCTAATCACAGTGAGCTCTTCATTAGCTCAGTATGTGGTTTGCCCTCAAGTGCGCACTGTTTCTTACTTTGTAATATGCCACTGTGAGTACTGACATTTAGAGTTGTTTAAAGGCCGAGAACTGGAAACAGCCTTTCCCCTATTTTCTGTGTACTGGGGATGGGGGTGATAACATTTTGGGGAGCTTTTTAAATCTCACAGAAGAGGAAAGTGGCCTGCTCTGGCAGGTGTGTGCAGGATAGAGTGTGTTTCATTTGTTCTGGTGCCAGGAATGAGTACTATGGTACTATGGTAGTTCCCTGAGGATTTGTATGTGCTCTGGGCTCATGAAGATATCGCAGCATGAGCTGCAGCAGTTGGACTCTTTCTCAATGACCTAAAAGGGATTCTTTCTGAGGAATGAAAGGCTCCCATCATTGACTGTGGATGCGGAAAACCTTTTCTAGCTTAGAACATTTATATCTACAATACATTTTAAAGTCAGAGTTCATGTTACCTGTTTTAATCACATGACTACATGTCCCAGTACACAAAAGGGCACTGCTTGGCATTCTTCTTAGTGTATTTAGTGAAGATCATAAGAAACCCTTTCAGAGTTTAAATACCCCTGGAACAGGCATACAGGCTCTAGTCAAGAATGAATTCGAGTGAAGGAAAGCTGTGTGACACCTGGCATTCCTCTATGTTCACGGAGCTTCTTTGAGGCTAGAAGATTGATTTTACCATGTTGACCTCTCTGGCTAATACCTATTCTTCAGCCACATTGGTTAATCTGACACAGGAATTTACTTCTTTTCCTTGAATGGAAAACACTTTAAAAATAATAACAACCATTTTAATAAACTAATACATGTGAGAGTATTGGTTGAAACAAAAAGCAGTTTTAGTGGACAGTGTTATACTACATTTGAAAATCAAGGAGAAGTTTATGCAACTTAAAATATTTACAAACTGCAATGCAATCTACTGTTTGTGAATGTCAAAGTATTATGAGTAAAGGTATCTATACAATCACAGAGTTATATTTCCTCACAAAGTTCTTTACGAAGGGTGAAATATGTTTTTATACCTCTCGGTTTCAGTTAGAGGCATATTTTGTGCCATATTTATGTTATGTGTCTATGCAGGATGAATGAATGATTTCAGTCATATGTTGCCTAAATCATAACTTCATGATGCTTGGGAAAGAATCAACAGTTAAAACTTCATGAAGTTCTAATGTCTGTGTTTCAAAATACGTCACAGTATTAGGATGTAGGGAGAGATGTATGTGCGCTCCCTGGGGTGTGCAATTCTAGTTACTAGACCATCTCCATTTTTAGCATTTGGCATCCTCATGATACTTTTATAAATATGACATTAATAGGAGAGCAATAATATGATTTTACAGATGAAATAGCAGATTTGCCTGCATTCACTGAAAGAGTACAAATATTGGTCCTTCAACTGACTCTTTCAAATTGTATGAATTTATTAATGTATTGGATAAACCCAGTTTCAGAATGATAAAGAAAAACTGTCAGACCAAATAGTGTGGGTAATTAGCAGTGGTACAGTTTCTAAATACCGCTCTTTGTGTAGGGATTTTGTCCTATGTTTCAGAAAAATCTAAAAAGAATGGAAATCCTATGACAATAACTTAAGTGTTTCTTCAAAGCATGCAGTCTTTGCAATACCTCATTCAGCCAAGTATTTGTTCTCTTCCTCATTCGGTATAAGGCAGCTTTCAATCTGCTTAGAAGGCAACATTAGAAGGTTAGAGTTCATCAGAAATACAGAATTTTAAAATGTGAGTTCAACTGAATAAAATTGAATTTCTGTAGGAAGTAAAGAATCAAAATACCTATTTAAAGATTGCAATATATGGTCATTATTTTTAAAGTATCTGATTAAACCTGATAGGTTTTCCAGAAATGAAAAAAAAAATCAGTTCAAAAACTAAAGCTGATTTTTAGAAAATGTGAAAATGTAAATCAGCCCTATCCATAATATTTTCTCTAAAACTTTATCTTACAGAGTCACTTTAAGATGATATAACTATTCAAAAATGTAACTGCTATGTTAATGTTTTAAAGTAAGTTAAAACACCTTAAAATATGAATACTGTAGTTTAAAGCAAAGAACCTGGGGGAAGGAAAAGTAGAGAAAGAAATGCCAATTCCAATGCCAAGCTTTATTTGCTGAGTTTTCTTAGAATGACTTTTACCAATTTATGAATTCCTGTCAACAGAATGTATAATGGAAATACTGAAAAACTTTTGTGTAAACTGGAATTATTGACTGCTACTGTGATGCTACTGTAATGTAATAAATTAGGAAATTGTTGCAAAGTGCTGTTTTTGCCGTAAATTTTGTGTGTCTTCAAAACTATGGTATTAAATGTATTGAGACTGTGCAAATGCTGGGCACGCTTGGCATGAGATAATCGGCTTTTGTTTTTACAAAATTGTAACTATGCAAGTGTGTTTATTAAAAGAACAGAAACTAAAAAGAAGTTATGGGAATTTAAGACAGTTGTGGGATGAAACAGTTATGGGATAAAAAATGCTGTGGAAAAGCGGCCAAGAAAGTAGAAAAAGTTTTATGAAAAGTTTTTTTTTAAGTTATAAGAAGTTATGAGATTTTTTAAAAAGTCATAGGATAAAAATAAAAATAAATAAAAGCAAGCCCCTGTCAGCATAAGCCTGGAGAAGTGGGGCTAGAGTCTTCGCCCCCCACCATGTACCAACCACCCCTTCCCAGTCACCCCTTTACCATTAGGGTAGCAAGACAAGACCCCGTCTAATGGAGGGAGACAAACAGACCCTTTGCCATCTTGACCAGGGCCGAGTCCTTACATTCCTGGACGGTGATGTTTGTTATTGAAGAGCCAGAGGCTGGTGGAGTTGGTTTGTTTGGAGGAGGCCTGATGACCTCCCTACTCTCACCAAAGCAACTTTTCCCTCAGGGGGCCTCGCATCTTCTTATTCAGAGAGGCAGCTGAGGTGGGACAGTGGGGCTAATTGTAGAGCAGGCGAGGGCACGGGCTGCTGGGGTGACCCCCCTTCCCCAGTGTACATATAGTATCTGTGTAACATTTTGTATATTCCGGGGGGTAGGGCTGCCCCCTGTATCGTACCTAGTGGAGGTTGGAGCTGGCATATGAGGAGGAGGTTCTAATCATTATTCATGGCTGGGAAACTTATTTATTGATAGCACAGGACAGAGGAAGGAGGTCGGGATGGGGTTGTGACTTCCTGGTGATGCGACTCCTGTTTATTTTGCTTTTCATTATGGAATAAATGGATTTAGCCATACTGCTCAGCCTGGTGGGTTCCCGTTTCCCTCACTGGGTGCTGGAGTTTGTGCCACTGAACGAGGAGCCCCAGAGTGTCTGAGCATGTCCAGCTCAGCTGTTGGGGACCTTCTAGGTCTGTTACTTATATGCTGTCTGGTGACACCTGGTGGATTTCATGGGGGCTGCCATGGCACCTATGGGACACAGTGAGGCCCTGACAGCCAACAGGCTCAGAAGCCTGATCTAGCGGTGGCCGGGAAGGCAGATACCAGCACCCAAGGACACTGACTTCCATCCACCCCAGGCATCTTCCCTTCGGGCCCCCTGCCTCTCTCGCCTATCTGCACTGGGTGGCCTGTTCTGTCTGTCCCTCCAGAGTGACAGGTGCCCCGCAGGCTCCTCCAGGCTGAGTTCATGGCCCTGCCCCCTAGTGGCCACAGCCAGCTTCACAGGATAAGAGCCAACTAAGCTCCAGGGGCTTTCCAGGAGGTGTCCCTTGGAAAGGGTGTGGCCATTTCACCACTCCCAACAGCACCCTCGACACGGCTGGGCCTTTTCCCTCCCTGAGCTCCACAGAGAACACAGCCAGCAGAGGACACATTACCTGTCATCCAGAAATGGATCTGATTCTCAGCTGAGGGACAGCAGAACTGGTAGACACTGTCAGCCCACACAGCTGCCTGCACAGCACCCCCATGCTTGGTGGGGGATGGGAGGGATGGTGGAGGCTGGCTGTCCACAGGCCGCGCATGAAAGGGAGGCCCACTGGAGGTGGCGCACTTTGGAAGGGCAATGTCAAGGGACAGCTTTCTCTTGTTGGGCCACAAGACTCCACAAGGACAGCACGGTGACTGATTCCCAGTGCTAGAGGTGAGGCAGTCGGCCACGTGTAGATGTGTATATATATATGAGTATTTAGAGCTATTTATAGAACAGGGCAGGGCATGCCACAGAGGGGCACAAGTTTTCAGCAATGGTCACACCTGGATGTGTCAGCTCAGCACTACAACAGACTAAGTCACAGATGAAGGGGGCTGGCTTTGGGCTGGGGAGCCACTGTCAAGTCACAGGACACCCGCCCAGGCAGGCTTGGAAAGGGAGTCCTCCCAGAAGAGGAGGATCTGTTTAGAGGTTGAAGGGGGACCTGGGGCTCTCAGGATGGGATGGACTTGCCTGATCCATTCAGCTGGCAGTTGGAGGAAAGCAGAGAGAAAACGGGTTAAAGAAAAGCCAGAGCTGGTGAGGCAAGTGCAGAGCATGGGCGAGCCACAGCAGCTGTGTGAGGGCTGGGGAGGGGAGGGCACAGGTGTGGGTGTGGCAAGGTTCCTAGAAAAGAGGGGCTGGAAGGGAAAGGGGAGGAAGACAGAGGAGCCAGAGCTTCACAGGTGGTGCCTGGGGGATGTGGCAGCCCTCCCCAGCCCATACACGCTGGCCTCTCTCACGGGACCCAGGAAGTACACCCATAGTTCAAACCAATGCTCAGCCCCCTTGGGCTTCCCTCTTCTCTGGTCACCCTGTCTTCCAACCCACTGGCCCAGGGCCACCTCTTGCTTGGGGAGCCCCACCCAACAGCCACCTGGCCTGATAAGGAACACTGCTTGAACCAAAATAGTGAAGCTATAAGGGATGGATGGCTGGAGTGAGTGCCAGAGGCCCCTCTGGGTGGTCAGCAAGACCAGGGCCCTCTGAAGGGAGCCTGGGGAAGGCAGGGAGGGCAGGTAGCTGGATGCCACTGGCCATAGACTTATAAATCTATGAGGGGAGCCTCAACTGGTTGATGGGGGACTGCAGGTTGCATAGGTGAAGCTGGGCCCTTCCTACTGGGAAAAGCAGAAGAGGGAGAGTCCGTGGCAGGAAAGGCAGGTGGGCTCGCTAGGCGGAGCTCAGCTGGCACTGTGGTCCCATTGGCTGAATAGCACAGGCAACCTCTAGGAACAACAGGCCAAGGTGCGTGAGCCCGCTGGCCAGTGGTAGTGCTTCAGTGGGGGCCAGGGACCCTGCCTTTGGTCACACAATAGCAGCTATGATGGCACTTGGGGGGGAGGGAAGGGGGCTGTGTGTCCCTGCCTGGCCTGTGGAGTGTGTTGTGGGATGACCGTGTGTGTGGGACTCTCACCTAGATCGCCACTGGATTGCCGACAGATAGAGGAGGTGGGACCCTGACTATCACCCCTGCTCTGCAGTGGATTCAGCTCTCGGCACTCCCGAGCTGGGAGCTGGATGCCCAGCCCTGGCAGCATGACTCAGACTGCACAACAGGTACGGTGTGCCCAGGATGATGTTCCTAGACCTCTGGCCACCTCAGAGTCTATCCCCACACACAATCCCCTCCAAGCTCCCAGCCCCTACACCATGAACCACAAGCTCTCTGCCCTCTCTGATGGCTCCAGAGAGCACCCACACCTGCCAGCTTGGGAATGGAACCTGTTTCAAGAGCCCCCAGGCTCAGTCATGGAGGCTGGCACCTGCATCTGGCCAGGACGCTCTGCACCTGCAACCAGGAGTCATCCACCAGCCCCTGTGGGTGTGCTAACAGTGGTCGTGTTGATGTCACCGATGATGCTGGGTGCCTCCATCAGCATGTGGTACATGTGCAGCATCTTGTCGCTCGGCTGTGCCTGCTCTGCTGACTCCTCCATCAGCGTGTTCTCATCCCCATGCTAGTACAGGTTGGCCAGCAGCTCTGAGAAGATGAACTCGTTGGTCTGAGAGTGGGCAAAGAGGGAAGGAGGTTAGAACCTGATGCCTGTACCACCCTGGCGGCCCCGCCGGGCCCTGCTAGGACTGTGTGCTGGACTTGGAGCCCCAAGTGTGGCTTTTCAGACGTGGCTTCTACACTGCTTCAACTCGAAGATCTGCCTCCCAACCACCTTTTCCCACTCAGATGGGGACACTGAGGTGCAGAGGAAAAGTCACCTGTCCAATATCACAGATCTGGAAGGGCACCCAGGTCCTATCATGCCACCAGGACACCTGTCTACTCAGTTTTTAAAAATTTTTTTTGGAGATAGGATATTGTTCCATCGCCAGGCTGGTGTACGGTGGGTGATATCACCACTCACTGCAGCCTCAAACTCCTGGGCTCAAAGTGATCCTCCAACATCAGCCTGTCAAGTAGCTAGGACTACATGCACATGCCACCACCAAGCCCAGCTAGTTTTAAAATTTTTGCATAGAGACCAAGTCTCACTATGTTGCCGAGACTTGTCTCGAACTCCTGGGCTCAAGCAATCCTTGACTTGGAAGAGCCCTGGGTTTATGGCCTGGGCAGCCAAGTGTTCAGGAACCCTCCCTGGCCACATAGTCATTGCCTGTTCTGGGCCACCCTCGTCCCCTTGACCACAGCTGTTGGCTGCTCTGACACTGACAGCCGATTTGGACACTGGGAGCTGAGGCGCTGGCTGAGGCCATGCCAGGCTTCCAGGAGGTCGTCACTATTTTTAGGGTCTTTTATTGGGGAGTGGCTTTGTAACAGTTTCAGGCTTACTAATAGCACCCACAACAGTGTCCTGATTTCTGCCAAATGAGGAAGGATATGGGAATCATATTTGCTGGGGAAAGTTTGATTCTGAGTCCTGGGGTGAGCCTTGAGAGTTTCTGTTCATCTTGTGTTGGGTCAGGATTCCTGAGAGTGACACGGAATGAGCTCACCCATGCCGACAGCTAGGGCTGTGTTGGAAGCACCGCTGCCCTCACTTCTGTACTGGGTTCCAGGTGCTCCCAGGAGGAGCGGAGGTGAGTGGGCATGGCTCTGGCGAGTGCCCGCCCCTTCCCTGGCACTGCAGGTCGACCTGGCCCCTCCCACACTGCTGGGCCTTGCATGGTCCTGCAGCACCTCCTTGTGAA